TCAAAGTTCCGCATTCTGCCTACACAGTGTATGTGTGTGTTCCGTATGATTCTCACATTAAACAGCGATTATTTCCCTAAACAGCATTAACCGGTTGGTTTTGTAGCGGAGACGTAATGAGTTTCCTGTGAGGTACGGACTGAATTTATATACACTGCATTCTGCCCACAGTGTGTATTTGTGTGTTCCGTATGATTCTCACAATAAACAGCGATTATTTCCCTAAACAGTATTAACCGGTTGGGTTTTGTAGCGAAGACGTAATGAGTTTCCTGTGAGGTACGGACTGAATTTATATACACTGCATTCTGCCCACAGTGTGTATTTGTGTGTTCCGTATGATTCTCACAATAAACAGCGATTATTTCCCTAAACAGTATTAACCGGTTGGGTTTTGTAGCGAAGACGTAATGTGTTTCCTGTGAGGTACGAAATTAAACCTTATATATTATGGAGATGAATTTAAAAGGGTAAACAAGCCACAGCTTTCAGCTGTTTCCAGATGGCTCCACTAGTAAGAGTGCCGCAAGTGACGCCAGCGGTTGCCGCACACAACTACAAGGTTTTAATGTAACAATTAATAACAGGTGCTTTTGTTGCGAGTTGCGCTCGGCCTTTATTATTAGGAAATGAAATGTTGGTTAAGTTAAGCTCCGATGGCAGGGCTGCAACACGGTAATCTGCTCGTGAAGCGGGCCCGGTTTCAAGACGTCCGTCTGTGCTGTGCGTCTCACAGGCGACGGCCCCCTTTCCCGCCGCAGGTGCGGCAAATTTCGCGGCTCTGTCAATTTACAGCAAGTTACTTGCTGCCAAAATGTTCACCGAGATGTAATATAATTCCTGGCTTACTTAAGGACACTCTCAGCAGACAGGTGATACAGTGTACAATATCTGGATGATTAAAGAATAGTGAATTGTCAAGGACTTCAGATGAACTGCCTGTCGGTTCACTTGAAGTACTATTCACGCACTTTCTTGGAGGGGCTGAAGAAAACAACGTTAAGCCTCAGTGAGGATAGCGGGTATCTGGTCAGAGATATGAACCAGAGACCTTTAGAACACGAAACAGCAGTGCCATGAGTAGGCGTACCAACAGCATACAGTTACTAGGGAAGATATACTTAAAAGCTGAAGGGCACAACGAGTCTGGATATATCAGGAAAGAGCTTTTAATAAATTAAATACAAAAAGAAGAGATGAATATAGACAAAATTGGATGAATCATCATGATAGAATGGCCGATGTAAAGAATAACCCAAACAGATTCAACACAATAAAACAAAATAATGCCAGAAACACAGAAGGACTTTTGGTGGATATCTGAAAGAGTTTTACCATGAAGAGAAAGGACATGACCTCTGAGCTACCAAATTGCTTTCACGGATTACTGAACGAAGCTGCGACATATGAAGTGACGAATGTGCCAGGAATCGGCTGTGGCCTCACTTGAGGTATTACGTCGACATTTACCTCGAGGGACTGAAGAAAAAAGGGCAAAAAACTCTGATTAGTAGATGCTGCATCTGAAATTCGAAACTGGGACCCATGGATTCCGGAAATGCTACGCTTTCAACGGAAACTTTCGGCAAGACTTTTGTCACTTTTCTCTAAGCATGTGACGTCATCTGTTGCTGTGAACGAAAGACATAATAAACAGAAGGCGTCGGAAATAGAGCAAACTAAAAGTCAAAGTTGTCCTTGTGTACACGCCATGAAGACGTATGGGGGAGTGGATGTATAGATCCACGTATTCTTGACCTCGGGACTAGTTTTAGGTGAACGGTCAGCTTTACGGCCCGGCCGCTTTACTCCTGGGGAAAGAGCCTAAGATAACCATAGGATAGGAGGACAGGTGGGTCCCACAGCAGATCTGGACGATAAGAAGAAAAAAGTCTCGCCCCTTCCGGAACTCGGCCGTGCGGCCGATAACCAGCCTCTATATCGACTGAGCTATCCCGGCTCATTTAGGGAAAATGAAAATATATGTCACTAAGAGATGTGAAGTGAGCAGTTTAGGACATTACATTAGAGGAAGTTTATGATTTACATAGAGAACCGGGATAACGACTGGCTAGGGGCTGGACGACCGAGATGTCGGAGTTCGAGTCCCGGTGGGGGCAAGAATTTTCACTTCTCCATGGCCTCCAGGTCGGCTCTGGGGTCCACTCAACCTCCTATCTAATGGGTACCGGGGACTCTTTCCCGGGGGTTAAGTGGCCGGGGTGTGAAGCTGACCACTCATCTCCAACTAGTGCCGAGGTTAAGGAAATGTGGATCTATCCATTCATTCCCCCTACGCCTTCATGGCGTAATGCTTAATTAGTTAAGCTCAGGGACAATTTTACATTTACCTTTTGTGATTTGTATAGATCACCTGGAATAGATGGTAAAAGTTAAAGGTATCCTTGCAACAAGGAGTGGAGTCCCACAGGGATGTGAGACGTCGAGGATCCCACATTTTCTAGACAATCGTCTCACAGATGGCAGGATGTTGTCAGCTTTACGCGCCAAACGGCCGACTTTACCCCCAGGAAGATTCCTGGTACTCATTTCTGTTAGAGGGCGAGTCGATCCCAGGGCCATGGTGCGGCTGGAAGGATAAGGTCAATTGAAAAAAATTACTTCATTGAGAATCAAAACCGCGACCTTACGACTTCTAGCATAGTGACCTGGAGTGGATGGGCGAGTGAAGTGGAGAATAGTAAGATGAGCTGGAAGTGTAGCCAGAATGGGGAGACAACAAATGTAAACATGTAGGGGTTTTGGTGGGGAAACATTTTGGAAAATGCTGTGTTCGGAAAACAAGAAATTGGGGGGGGGGCGGAAACGTGAAAACTGATAATTCGAATGTCAGTTATGAGGATGGAAAGTTGGATAGAACTGGCTCTGGATGATGCCCAATGCAGGGTTTCGGTATTCACGATATTAAAATTCCCGAGCATATTAAGCTCAGGGAAGTTAAGTGGCCTTATTTTGAGAAAATGCTTTGTGCATTACGAGTGTAACTTTGAAAATTGAGTCGAGTCGAGCCTTATGTTACGACCGACATTCAGTCGGCCAGTCCGTCTTGGAATAGAGCTCCTTTCTGGAGCTTAAGACCAGATTTTTATTAGTCAGACAGTTGCGGGTTTGTAAATGTGGGGCGCTCTCACCGGCGAGAGGACGGGTCGATCGTTTACAATTTCAACTGGTCCTCGCCAGCTCACTCATCCTCGAATCCGAGTCCCGTGGGACTTACGACTATATTTTACTGTCTCAGATTCGAGACTTACTTTTTCGTAGCCTTCTACGACTCACAGGGCTACGGTAGAGGTATTCGACCCCGCCTCCACATGGGATTTTACACTTCAGGTTCATCTGTGTAATATTTATAATATTCAGTCCGTACCTGAAACACATTACGTCTCCATAACCAAGCCCAACCGGTTAATGCTGTTTGGGGGAATAATCGCTGTTTATTGTGAGAAACATACGGAACACATAAACACACTGTGTGGGCAGAATACAGTATATATGTATAAATTCAGTTCGTACCTCACAAGAAACACATTACGTCTCCTCTACAAAGCCCAACCGGTTAATGCTGTTTAGGGAAATAATCGCTGTTTATTGTGAGAACCATATGGAACACATAAACACACTGTGTGGGCAGAATACAGTATATATGTATAAATTCAGTTCGTACCTCACAAGAAACACATTACGTCTCCTCTACAAAGCCCAACCGGTTAATGCTGTTTAGGGAAATAATCGCTGTTTACTGTGAGAACCATACGGACACACATAAATAAACTGTGTGGGCAGAATAAGAATATTATAGGGTTAACGCGCGTGGTACATGTAGTTACCACGGTACTTTAGTGTGTTAACGTTTCTGGCGGTCATTCTCACTTGATCTCTACACTGCAGTGTACCCTCTCCACAACTCAATATTAACCCCTTGCCTCCCCACCCTCTCTATATCCCTACCGAACCACATTTTGCAAGCACCGCGACGCCTGTAGCCGCCTTACTAATACCACTTCATTTAGACGATAAGGGACTACGGACCCTGGGCGTGGGGGGATGCAAGAGGGAGGCGCTCTTTAGAACAGGCAGCATTATCTCGTCCCTCCCCCAACCCCCTTTCCCTTCTCTCGGCGCCATGATTGATGAGCATTACATGCCGGCCTAAATACCATGTAATTTGCAAATACAACGCATAATTACACTTGATTACCAGCGCCCTCTATTCCGGACTCACTTTATGATAAAAGATAGAGGAAGGCGGACGGGAGAAAAGCAGACTAGGATGATTAAAGCGGCGGTGATGTACTGCCGCTCTCACTAACTACCACGAACAAGAGAGAGAGAGAGTTATGCACGCTCAGAAACTCTGCAAGACCTCCCTCCCCAGTGTCCCTGTCTGCTACACTATTCTCGGATTCAAGCAAGAAGGCGTGCGGGCAACAGCCGGTTGCCGGTAGCAACGAGTGACGTGACAAGAATTAAACCAATCCGCGTCACTCATGCCTTCGTTTCCCCTGCTCTATGCGCCCCCTCGCGGGTTTCGTTAACTTTATCTTGGTGAAAATACACTGTTTCGCTTGCTGTAATGTGTTTATTTTATTTACTTGAAGTCGGTGTTAGTAGGCCAAAGAGAGCCCGCATAGCTCAGTCAGTATAGTGACCAGACTACGGGATGGATAACAGAAGAACTGTAGTTACTCGTATATCCTATGGAGAGACAAGAGATTCCTCCTTCCTCCACAGCTTCCGGACCTGTTCTGTGGCCCACACAACCTCCTATCACTCTTCTTCTGGGAGAAAAGAACCGGAACGTGAAACTGATCACTCGCCTCCATCTAATGCCGAGGTTAAGAATGCCTCCACTTCTCCATGCACCTTCATGGCATGGCGCTTATTTAAACTCAAGATCAATTTAACTTGTCACATTCAACGTCGGAATATTGTCTTCAGCATGTGTACTATCAGTATACATTTCAATCCTTGTGTTACAGGTCTGGTTCCAGAATCGGAGAACAAAATGGCGGAAGAAGCACGCAGCAGAAATGGCGACAGCGAAGCGCAAACAAGAAGAGGCTGAGGGACTGGCTGACGGGGACGGCTCCGACAGGGACGATGAAGACCTTGGAGTCAGAGGTAACGCTGCAAAACGGCTGAGGCGAGAACTGCAAGAGGAAGAACTAGCTCGACAGTGAGGTATAGTTCTGTGAGTTATGTGGCGGAAGAACTGGCACAACAATGAGATCAAACTCGGCGAAGAGTTTCGAGGAAGAACTTTCACGGCAGTGAGATATAGTTTTGTGAGTTATGTGGAGGAAGAACTGGCACTACAATGAGATCAAACTCAGCCAAGAGTTTCGAGGAAGAACTTTCAAGACAGTGAGATATAGTTCTGTGAGTTATGTGGAGGGAGAACTGGCATAACAATGAGATCAAACTCAGCAAAGAGTTTCGAGGAATAATTTTCACGACAGAGAGAGATAGTTCTGTGAGCGCTGCGGAGGAAGAACTGGCACAATAATAAGATCAAACTCAGCAAAGAGTTTCGAACATGAACTGTCAAAACGGTGAGATATAACTCCGTGAGTTGAGAGATGATGAACTAGTGTCATATACATAGTATATTCCGGTGATGCTGCTACCAAAAGCACATAAAACACAGTGGAATAGATGAAATGCATTCTCTGACATTAAGACATCGCGTTGTCTTAAAATCTAATCACTGGATTGCTTGCATGCAGAAAGATGTGATCTGGACTGCGCAGGTCTGTGATGTGATCCAAAGAACAGAACAGAATAAAATATAAAAATACAAGATATTCTGTAGACTATCACAGATATGTGTCCAGTATTATAACGTGCCAATTTACATTTCAGCAAAACGGCGAATTCCGGGTCTACGATACTATGAACCCAGAACTTAATAATGAACTGTTGAATGTTAAACGTAGACTAAAATAGTCGGAAGTGCTACACAGGGAGTCAATTCGTCAAAGATTTGAAGACACAGTCGACATTGAATTGATGTATTATTTATTGTATTATAATTAAAGACGATTTGAAGAAAAAACTACTTTGCGTCCAAAAAAAACGGTTGAACTTGTTAATAAGAAAGCTACATGAAATTCTTAGTTTCTTTGAGTTTTCCTGTAACTAACACTGACAAATGAATACATATTACTTAACTCTTTAAAGCACTGTGGTAACTATATGCACCACTAGCTTTAACATTAAAGAACTCTGCATTTTTCCCCCACACACTGGATTTATGTGCTTCAAACGAGTCTCGCAATAAACAGCGATTATTTCCCTAAACAGATGCAACCGGCTGCTTTTTGTAATGGAAACGTAGAGTGTTTCCTGTGAGGTAGGAATTGAATTTTGACGTGCTATTTCGATGTTTTTCAAACTTCGAGAAAAATACAACGGTAGAAACAACTGAATAACATTATTCGCATCTTCTGACTATCAAAAACCAGGAGAAGCTATTCATGTTGGGCCCAGTACTGATGCCTCATGGCAGTTGTACTGCAACTGCAGCTAGTCTGCAGACAATCCCCTCTGTCTTCTGTCTTTTTCGGGCTTCAGAGGAATCACATATGATAACTGCTAGGGGTCAGTCAGGCTGTAGTCTTCTGAAATTATATTTAATATAGCAAAATAATGCACAATCTTGTTGGTTATGAAAGGGATATAACAATCTTCGTAACACTCTCGGAATGCAAATAGATCTTCATCATGATCCATGAAACTTAAATCAGTAAAAACGAGTAAATCACATAGTAAACATGTTTGTAGGCTGAGCGGGAAGTAGACATTAAGTTGTACTCAGCGCAGGTGTACATTGAGATCAGATGCATGATCTATGATTTCTGAAGAGAAATGACAAAAAGTGACACTCAATGTCAAGTAGCACCTCATAATGAAGAAATTAAGTATTAAAATGGATGTCCATGTAAACAAATGAAAGCTAGTTTAAGCCTGAATAAAATTATTTCACAAGAATCCATTACAAGTTAAAAAGTAATGTCTGGACACTTATCAGTGTATAGGAACCAGAACCTTCCCAGAAACTTCATGGATTTTTTATTTTGCTGTAACACTTTCAAGCAAAGCGGTTATTATAGGTACCACTTGCCTTAATATTCAAGAAGTACACAGTTTTTCCTCACAGAGTAGAATCATTTATGTGTTCCGTATGATTCTCACAATAAACAGTGATTATTTCCCTAAACAGCATTAACCGGTTGGGCTTCGTAGCGGAGACGTAATGTGTTTCCTGTGAGGTACGAAATGAATTTATATATATATATATATATATTGCATTCTGCCCACACAGTGTATTTATGTGTTCCGTATGGTTCTCTTAGTAAACAGAGATTATTTCCGTAAACATCATTAAACGGTTGGTCTGAGCGTGAATTTGTATATATATTTAGATTAATTTCAGGTCTGATAACGATACATTAAAATTTATCTAAAATCCGATGAAATTTTTTGAAAATGTGGACCACACATAATTATTCAAACTGGCAGCACATAAACGGATTCTGCGAAATAACAAACATAATCACGATTATCAGACAAAAATGTGACATCCCTCTGTTTCAGTGGGGCACATAGTTCACGGCATATTATATAAAATACATACATCTACTTGTAATTTCAAATTGCTTTCGCATAGCAGAGAATGTACAGTTAGTCTGCCCAGTTTCCTGACATTTCTTCTTCGACACTGAGAACTGACCAAGAAATTAATCCTGTATTACGCGGTTAGTTTTGAGACTTCTCCACTGATAGTTTCTTAGTTGAGCTCCATAATGGAGCTATCTGTGGAGAACTTTAAAAAATAACCACGGATAAATCGGGTAATTTCTTGGCCAATTTAGACTGCTGTGCCACAACAGAAAATAAGTCATGAAATTGTGTAGATTTACCCCAACACTGTAATAAAATTGTGAACCGAATATGATGATATGTACGTTGTTTAAGAACTGTCTTCCTTTATTTTACGACAATTTTTAATTTCATAATTCATATATAATCGAAGTGGAATCTTAATAAGAAAGGTTTATTTTTAAAAGAGGTTTAAGCAAGCACCCGTGGCCTATTTAAGATGTTATTCAAATATACTTCTAGAACTTAGATATAAAAGATAAGCCTCAATAAAGGGGCCATTCTCCGGGAAGACACGTTACAAATACAGAGGCAACCACTACACCGCGATATTCAGTATGGGTTTCCTATCGCATGCTTTACAACACTGTGTATACGATCCGCCAAAACTGACACGTAGTAACCGAGCTATAACGTTCGTAGCACAATGATATTGCTGTGAGAAAAAAGTTGTTTTCGTTCATGAGATTTGACCGTTTTCATTTTGATGAATACCGGTATTGTGATTCTCTGGGCTATGACACCGTTTCGTCTGGTATGTGGTTAACTCGCCAGTGGTTCAGGGAGTATACTCTAATAGGGACAGTATATTCCTCTGAATCATTGGTCATATTCCACCAGGGTACGCTGGAGAACACGACATGAAATTTGTTTACATTTAATTTGAAGCAGGAATTTGGGAGACCCAGCACATCCACCGTTAGTTTGTTTCAAAAATAATTTCAATATAGTACAATTAACTATTTGAATTTTGAGGCAGCATATTCCTCCGAAACGTCGGTAAACTTCTAATAGACGTCAGTGCGTCATATCCCAGAAGATCATGTATATCAGTAAAGTCCCTGAGTAATATGTTACAGCACAAATCACGGAATTAGTTGTTGATATGTGGAAGAGAGTCTAATTCTCTCTTTTGACTCTCCTGTAACTTGTTTCCTCAATTCGAAATCATAGGCTGCTGCTATCTCGCGTTCCGATACTTATGCTACCAACCGTATAGCCTACCACAGAGAAAGTTGGTATTATTTGGATACGATGGTGACATTTACAGACACATACTACATTTCGCAACAAACACAATGTACAAATATTACTGTCTTTTGGAATGAGAAGTCATATAACCCGACGAATAGTCACTAACGTTTCGGATAAATTTGTTGCTTCCATCTTCAGTATATAAGTAGTTCGAAAAGAAGTGGAACGGATATATTGAAATGGAGAATAACTACGAGGTTCGTCTGAAACGTCGCTAACTATCTGACACACTTTGCGATGTCACATGCAGTTTACACAATTCTGCTGTAGACATCTGTACTTATTACTTGAAACACACAGAAAAAAAAATCATAGAACATTCTGAGTTAAACGCAATGCGTTCTGGAAGAAGCTAGCGATGTGTAAGAATTTGGCGTTTAGTTTAAAATAATCTTCTGCTAAGAACGTGATGAAGTGCATGTTGGGTCTCAATGGACTCAGCCATGGACACGTCTGACCAATCAGTAACGTGCTCTCCTTCAGCGCATGCGCACGCAGTCAGATTCTTCCCAGATAACAACCGAGTCTCAGTATTTCCTGATCCGATTTCATTTGCTACGATAATCGATATTTCCGCTTTCTAGCGTCACTGAAATGGATGTGAACACCAGGAAGTTAAAGTAAACACTGATAATCCGGTTACAGTTATCCAGATAGAAATATGAAAAACGCTGTTCATAGTTGAGTACATACTTTGAAGTACACTTAGCGGCATTTAGGAAGGCAGATGAGTCACTTCTCTGTTCAGAAAAAATCGATAGTTTCTTCAAACCTGCATTATTATTGTACATTCAAAAAGAAGCACAACGTCTGGGTCTTCTATCGACGAATGAATGTATTGTCTTTTTCCAGTTTGTATATAAAGTCTCTACAGTGATATATTTTTTATTTATTTCCATCAGCACTGTCTATATCATTAAATTTTCCATTTATTTGTTTGCTAAGTATTTTCTTTGTCTTTTAGGATTATCTTTTGCTTCGCTTAATCCGGGTGACTTCTCGCCCCGAAAATTATTCCGGGTTATCGAGGGTTTACTGCACTACCAAAACCCATTCTTGTGCATTCCAAATTCTATTTTTGCGTATTGTACTCAAAATATAACTAGACTTACGCCTCTTTTACACACATAAAGTACCTGAAAGTTCGATGTCTGTAATTTACAGACACGTTAAAGTTGGTACTAACTTCACCGACAATCGGCGGTTGCTCGATCGGTATAGTTCGCTTGCGGACTAAAGCCACGGAGTTTGTTTTGTTGTTATACAACCCTTAAATTTACAAATAATTTCATCACTTAATCTCATTTTATTCGATTGTTTTTATAATGAAACAAGGAAAGTAAACACTGAGGAACGCTTGAGGACACCAGCCACTGCATGTTTGTTTATGGGAAAACAAATTTGAAATGTATATAAAATTTTAGCTGTGTTAACATGTATACAGGTACGAAATTATTGTAGAATCTGTATGTATGTGAGTGCGTATGTCTGTGGATATGTATGGACGTGAAATAATTATTGTAAATGTAGTGTAAATGGAAGAAAAAGAAACAAAAAGCCAGCAGGATTTAAACACAACTATTGTAACGAGAGATATTGTACGACGTGTGAACTACTAACATATATAATAACATTTATTTGTAATATAAATATGTTGCCCAGAACCACTGATTATCACTTTATTTACCAACCAAATGCAAAGAAGTCTGACTCAATCTACAGGCGGCTTCAATCGAGAGAAGAGAGGAAGTTTTCCGACTGGTAAACTCGGGTCAAGGAACGAACGATTGAGGGTGGTGTTGCCTCCACACTGCAGTCTGTTTCCCCAGGGCTATCTCCATTGCTCGCCTCTCCTCTGTCAACACAACAACAGGAAACTCAGAATATAGAGACAGACGGAATGACAGCTAGAATCACGGACTCCGACAGGAACATTTCCAAGAGAAGCTGCAGCCACCCCCCCCCCCAAAAAAATTTGCTCAGATGCTTCGGTTAAAACCGCTTTAGCACGCCGCCCCAGAATTGTGGGGCTCTACTACTAAACACAGAAAGCGCCACGTTTAAGAAGACTCATCATCATCATCATCAGTAATCTGTCAAGACGACAGGTCCACAGTCTCTTTCAAAACAATTCCTCCACTTAATGCGATCTAGAGCTTTCTCCTTCAAATGACAGTATCCTCTTCTGTCCCCAAGGTCATCCAGCATCTTCTTACGTCTTCTTCCTCGTCTTCTTGTCACTTCTATCCGCCCATCTATCTTTCCTTCGATAGCTTCTTTTAGAAGGCAGTTTCTGCGTAAAACATGACCAATCCAATTAGCCTTCCGTTTTCTTATTTCATGTAGGATATTCCTCTGCTCACTGACTCTAATTAATACTTCTTCATTTCTCACATAATCGGTCCAACTGATCTTCTCCATTCTTCTCCAACACCACATTTCGAAACTTTCCAGATGTTTCTGATCTACTGCCCTAAGTGTCCATGTTTCAGCCCCATACAGAGCTATGCTCCAAATGTAGCATTTCACTAGTTTCTTCCTCAAATTTAAGTCCAATTTGCTGGTAAAAAGATTCTTCTTCTTGCTAAATGCAGCTTTTGCCATGGCAAGAAGACTAACATTAATTTTTTCCTATAAATATTTGGTATAATAAAATGTGAGACAGAGTTGTCCCTGTGCTTAACTAATTAAGCACTACTCTATGAAAGCGTATGGTGGAGTGGATCTATAGATCCACACTTTCTTAGCCTCGGTACTAATTGGAGGTGAGTACTCAGCTTCACGACCTGGGCGCTTTACACCCGGGAAAAGAGTCTCCACGACAGGAGGTTGGGTGGGCCCCAGAGCCGTTCTGGACGACGTGTAGAAGGGAAAGTTCTTGACCCTACCGGGACTTGAAATCCGACTTTTCGGTCTCCTAGCCCGTAACCAGTCACTTTTATTTCCTATATTCAATTTTTATTTTTTCCCAATAATCCGATGGACGGGGGGTCGGGTGCATAGCTACCCCCCCCCTGCGCCAAGGCTCATGGAAAGAATGCAAGTGAAAACAGACTGGAGTGGGATATAACTGCTAACCAGAAGGGTGAAAAATAGTCCGTGTTCATTTTGTTCCTTACCCGACCTTATCATACACTTTTCCGAGCGCGAGCATTGCCAATCCCACGATAAGCAGATAAACACAAATCGTGTTTTCCTACGCCAGTACTCCCACAATTATAATTTATTCCCATTATTCAAGGTGATCGCAAAATATAATTTTATATGCACTTTACAGAAGTGACGAAATTATGGCAAAGTACAAATAAAT